TTGTTGTTTTCTTCTCATCAAATAATTTGACAGTGATTTTTTTAGTGCATCTTAATATTAAACTCAGATGTTTTTCATGTCTTGAATCCACTTCTGCGAGATGGATCCAGGCAGACATCACTGCGCTCTTTGTGTTCATGCCAAGTGTTGCTTTAGAAAAGCAGCAACCTTAAAGTTTCTTTTAGCCCTTTGATGTCATGAACAACAATCAAATCCAAATTACATATAATTCTCTTTGGAAGAGACTCGGAAGCTGAAAGCCCGCCGTATCCTCGCTCCTCAGTGTTTCTGGACGTGGGCGTGACCTGTTTGTCTTTTTAATCAAACCCATGAAGGTCATAATTATCTTAATTATTACTCCCTCAATCACAGCTTTTCTCAAACTTGATTCTTGAACAATATTACTCTAATCATCCGAGCATTGTTTATATTTTGTGTGTGCTCTCCTTGCTGCCTGCATCATTGGCATCCAACTCTCCCTCTTCTCTTCCCTGTGTTCAGGAGCCGTGGTCATCGCCTTCGTTGTCTGCTGGCTGCCCTATCACGCCCGCCGCCTCATGTTTTGCTACGCCTCAGAGTGAGTAACGATTTTTTCTTCATGCATTGCCCAATAGTCTGCATGCCAGGCAGCAGAGTCCCATAGATGTGTTTTCATATTCTACACCTTTAGAGGAACATATGAACCAGTGAAGTCCAGTATTGACAGAAGCAGACATTTGGAGTCATCAGCTAAGAGCATCAGAACAGTAACAAGAGAGCTTTCTCTGGTTGATCAGATTAAAATCTTGTCCTATTTTCCAATATTTTCCTTTCTATTTTTAGTCTGTTGCAATATTGCTTGTCTGATTAAATCAAAAGCGAAAGAAAAATTCATTCCGTCTGCTCTTCAGTAGGGAGATAAAAGCAGTAGAAGCACAAAACATAATCAGTAAAATACACAAGCATCTTTCTAAGGGTTACGGTGTGGAAAATAAATTATACAGCATTTTCTCATGAAGTATAATCATCAATCTTTGTCAAAACATCTAAACCATTTTATTGCTGCTTTAGACTTACAGAATATATTTTAGAAAACCTGATCAAATGTTCTAGAATCTGACTTTTCTGCCCTGCTTTAAAGGAAAAGTCGCTCACATTCAGAATTCAAACTTCTGAAAGTTCTTTGAATCTGAAATGATTCCATCCTGTTCAATAAATGATCAGTGTTTTTAATTCAGAGTCATTTTCATTTAAATGTGCTTTACTGGAGGCATCCATGTTTGTCAAAGAACACCACTGTCATGACCCACATGCAGATAAACCAGTCCAGAGAGACCAGGGGAAGAGTTCAACAGGTTTATTGAGAAGTTTGGTGGAGATTCCAGTG